GCCAAGGCCCCGCAGCTCGGGCTCTGTTCTGTCTGGGGTCAGGTGAGGGCTGGAGCTGTCTCGCCAGTGCCAGCCTGCCTTCCTGTCCTGGGCGCCCAAAGCCGTCAGAAGCCGCCAGAAGCCAGGCTCACCCCGTTTCCCCAGAGGTGGCCTTCGGCACGCTCCTCAAGGGCACAGCCGCTTTACCTGGGGCTGCCCCTGGGGCAGCATCCCAGCTCCCACCTGGTAGGGCCCCCACGGTGGCTTTTTTTATTTTTCTTGTAGAACCAGGGATTGAACTCAGACCCTTGCACTTGCCAGGCAAGCGCTTATTCTACTGAGCCATCTCCCCGGCCCACACCCCATGGTGGCTTTCTGTGGGACCCTTAGACCTCAGCTGGAGCGAGCAGCACTCTCCAAGGTGCCTCCGCTCCATGATCCCACAGTGTTCCCTGAGGATAGTCACATGGCTGCTCCTTGGGGGACAGGCCGCTCTTGGCTCAGTTGCCCAGAGGCCTTATGTTGCTGTCCCTTCTTCCAGGATCTCTGTTCCCTGGAAGGTCGCTCCCTTTGTGAGCCCTGCTAGCCATGCTGTGGAGTCGCGTCTTCAGCACCCTCCTTCCTAGCAGAGCCCTCACTGCTCATGGTCCACGCCAGTTCCTCCAGCACCCCTGCTGGCTGGCCCCTCCACTCCCTGCATGGGAGCCCCATGATCCACACCCCATAGGCTGCAGCCTGTTGGTCCTGCCTTTGGGGTGGGCTGGGCTCCCCGGGGTGCCTGGGACGTGTGACTGGGCAGGCCGAGTGAGAGAGGACTCGGGCTGCATGCTGGGTCCTGGTGGGTGCCCCTGTCTGGGCAGCAGTGGGCTCAGCGTGGAAGCGGGGCTGCAGGTGGCCGTGTGTGACCACGGCCCCTTCCCTGCCTCAGCTGGGCCTGGGCCCCTGTTCATGAGGTGGGGGCCTGTTTCATACTGATGTGGCCACTGTGAGGGACCCCTGTGAAGTCACGGGATGCCACACAGCTCAGAGAGCACACAGCCTCTGGCTGCTGCCCACCCTCCATGGCTGTTGTACGCCCGAGACTTGTTCGGCTCCTGCCGCAATCTCATTCACTTACTGATTGCGGGGCTAGAGGTGGAGCCCGGGCTTTTGCACACTGACCCGCATTCCCTGCTCCCTCCGCCATGTTTTTGGAAATTGGGCCTTGCTAATTTTCTTGAGTTGCTCGAGTTAGGCATGAACTTGAAATCCTCCTGCCTCAGTCTCCTAGAGTGGAAGGCACCTGCTATCAATTTTATAACAGTCATCCCTTCCTCAAAAAACTAAAGCCCACAAACGTATGCCTCCAGGTGCAGTGCATGCACCTGTAATCCCTGCGCTCCGGGAGGCTAAGTTGGGAGGACAGCAGGTTGTAGCCCAGCCCGGGCGGCTTATTGATGTGGTGAGACCCTGCCTCAGAATGAAGAATTTAAGAAAAGGCTGGATTTGTAGCCCAGGGTTTAGTCTCTAGTACCCTCGAAAGGAAGAGAAGGAGGGAGATAAAGAAGGGAGGGGAAAGAAACAAAAGAAGAAAAGGAACAAAGGAAGCTAGTTACGGGCTGTAAGGACGAGGCCTTTCGTGTCACCTCCTTTGCTCACTGTGGCGGTCTCAAGGCCTGGCTGGGCCCCAGTGTGTATCCATCTCTCTCAAGCAGAGTCTTTTCTTGTCCACTCACCCAGGTGCATTCCTGGGTTGTCACAGAGTGCCCGCCATGAGCGTGTGTGCGCCGGGCTTTGGGCGATGCCTCCACACCCCAGTGCCGCCCCTCCAGGTGGCTCCCTGCCCACCGTGATAACCCTGAGCCCCGTTGGAAGCATGCCGCGCTCCTGCACTGTGGTGGCCCCTTCCACACCCATCAGCCACACGTGGGGCCCAATCCCCCAGGCCTCCCCAGCACTGGCTGTTGTTGGTCTTTTATTTTCACCGTCCTCTGGGTGGAGAAGAAGCAGTCTCTGTAGAGTGGATCTGCGTGACCTTGATGGTTGATGACACATCTTCTGGAGAATGTGCAGGTGCACATGTGCCCCATGAAGACGCAGGCATTGCCCTGTGAGCTGAGGCTTGGGCCAGCCCGCCTCTGGGACAGGTGTCCTTGCCACATTACAGAAACTACCTTCATTCCTTGGCAGAGACACGGGGACACAGAAAGCCCCCGTGGCCGGTGCAGTGTCACACAGCTGGCAGTCTTAGCTTGGCACCTCACCCTCATCTCTTGGTCCCAGAAGGCCACACCTGGATCCCCTGGCATGCCAGACCCTGCTCCCCATGCCCAGAGCCTCCGGCTGACCTGGGCCATGTGCTGCCATCTCTGGTCCCCAGGCTCCTGGTGGGAGGCAGGAGCAGCACCAGACCACCCGCAAGGCCTTCCCCAGCCTCAGCTTTCCAGTCCTGTGCATCGTTCTGAGAGGGTCCAGGGGCTGTGGCCTCCCCAGTGGAGCGAGCAGATGTGAACTCCAGTCAGTCTTTAATCCTCTCTTGAGTGAGTGGGGTGGTCTCTGTGGACACGACCGTGTCCCAGGCAGCTTTGCACAGTGGCTGAGGACAGCCAGAAGGGACAGCGGTCTGTTCTGACCACTCTGCCACTCGCAGAGGAGGGCCTGGGTCTGCATAACTTACGCAAAGGGCTGAGCTGGGTGGTCCCCAGTGGCCGCTGCTGCTTCACATCCAGCCTTCTGTGGAATATGAGTGTTGGGGTACAATGGACAAGGCCGCGGGTGGCCCCATGGGACACTGCCTCACATCCAGTTCCCCAGCTGGCCCCAGCAGCATGCATCCTCTTTGCTGTTAGCTCTGCTCTCGGGCCCAGGCAGGTGGGGCTGCCAGCCTTGTCGGGCACCATGCGTGGCTCTGAGAGGACTGTGGTCTGCCGGGGCACAGCGGGAGAGACCCACATGTGGCGCACCTTCCCCAGCCCAGGCCCTGAGGACCCTTCCGTCCTAGGGCCCACATGCCGACCCCTGCCTGCACAAGTCCGGAGAGGGTCAGGTCCTGAGGAACCACAGCCCCAGTCAGCATTCAGCAGGGATGTGGGTGCAGCGGGCGCTGTGTGGCTGACTCACCCTTTTCCCAGTTGCCCTGGGCTATAGCTGCGGTGCTGGCCCAGGAACCCTCTTCCCAGCACACCTGCAGGGGCCACAGAGCTCAGGTGACAGCAGCTGCCTGGAGCTGGTCCCCTCTGGCCTCAAGGCTCAGCATTCCTACCTGTGTGATGGATCTGCTAGCCCTATCTGGGTTGCCATGGAGATGGTAAGGGCCCGGGAATGCGCCCAGCCCAGCTCTGCCAGGTCAGGGGTCAAAGCCCACATGGATATCAGTACTCTGGAAGAGGGTCACCTGCCAAGACGAGTACTTGGAGGTGTGTGGGGGGGAATAGGGGGCTCAGTTGTGTCCAGAGCCTGGGCCCCAGGAACACAGGCAGAGACCACCACTGTTGCCCAGGGTGGGCAGGAGGAGGCCAGGGGCTCCTGGGCTACGGGGAGTGGAGGTTGAGCACAGAGGGGTCACACAAGCCTCGAGACCACTCTCAGAGGCCGTGGGAGCTATTGCTGACTGCAGAGTGAAGTTTGAGGCCCAAGACTGCCTGCAGTTGGGGCATGGGATCAGGTGTTCTAAATCTAAGCACTGAGAGCCAGGTGCGGAGGTGCTCGCCTGTGAGCCCAGCACGTGCAGGCTGAGGCGGGGGATCGCTTCCAGATTGAGGCCAGCCTGAACTGCATACCAAGACACTGTCTCAAAAAAGAAAACATCTAAGTGCCTTAGAGAGAGCACAGTGGGGGAATGGGGGCCCCCAGCAGGGCCCAGGGGGGCTCTGCCCCAGTCCACACCCAGGCTTCATGTGGTGAGCTTCGGAGTCCTCGGCCCATCTGTAAAATGGGGCAGCAGCTCCTCCCAGGTACGAGGATCCCGAGACACTGCACGCTGCGCATGCTGTGTGCCAAGCACCTGCACGCCATGGGCGGGGGCCACGCCCTGCACAGTCCTGGGTGCCCCTTGACTGTCCTCACCTGATTTCAGTCTGTTCACTCCCGACTCCAGGCAGGTGGGGCAGGGGCTGGGCTCCTTAAGTCCAAAGCGAAGAGGAGTTAGTGGGAGGGGCGGGTGGTGAGTAATGTTGAGTGAGTAAGCCTGCATCTCAGGACGGGATGGGAGCTGGGCCCTGGGCCTGCCTGGCCGGTCCCCTCCTGTCTGAGGTCACAGGGCCACACAGGAGCTGCGTTTCCAACCCAGTGGCTTCCAGGGACACAAAGCCAGGCCCTCAGCTCTTTTTGAGGCTTCTTAAGCTTTGAATTGCAGCCTGGGTGCAAATCCTGCTTCAGTCACTCATGCCTGTGCCTCAGTCTCCTCATCTGTGAAATGAGGCAATGACCAGGCCTGTGCCCTCCGCTGCTCACGAGGGCCTGTGGAAGCAAAGGGAGAGCACAGGTGTGGAGTAGGGGCTGCTCTCTGGCTCCATGAGCTGCTTCTCAAGAGTGCAAACTCCAGTGAGGCTCAGTGGTGCATACCTGTCTTGCCAGCACAGTGGGAGGCTGAGGCAGGAAAACTACAAGTTCAAATCCAGCCTGGGCAATTTAGCAAGACCCTACTTCAACATAAAGAAATAAAAAGTTTGGGGATGTAGCTCAGTGTAAAGGCCTTGGGTCCAACCCCAGTACCACACACAGAAAATGTAGGAGTTCAAAATCCAGAGTGTGGCCGCTCCCGTGGCCGCTCCCGTGGCCGCTCCCGTGGCCGCTCCTGGAGCCTGCGCTGGGCTTACACAACTTCAGGCGGTGGATTGTGGAGATAAGACTGGCCAGCATGGGGCGGAGAGGATGAAGAAATCAGAGCTGGGTCGTCTGGCGGAGGGCCCTCGGGGTCCCAGCGGGCACTGAGGGGGACGAATGAGGAGGATACCTTTCTGGCGGGGCGTCTGGGAGGCTGCCTGGAGGGGGAGGCACTGGCCTGGGCGCGGGCCTCAGCACTCGCGCCTCTCCGCCCGCAGGGAGCCGCGAGGCCGCCTTCACCTACGCCATCACTGCGGCCGGCGTGGCGCATGCTGTCACGGCAGCCTGCAGCCAGGGTAACCTGAGCAACTGCGGCTGCGACCGGGAGAAGCAGGGCTACTACAACCAGGCCGAGGGCTGGAAGTGGGGTGGCTGCTCCGCTGACGTGCGCTACGGCATTGACTTCTCCCGCCGCTTTGTGGACGCCCGCGAAATCAAGAAGAACGCGCGGAGGCTCATGAACCTGCACAACAACGAGGCCGGCCGCAAGGTAGGTGGAGGGGGGTGCCGACCCTGACCCGGATGCCCCTGGTACCTGTGGGGACTTCCCGGAGGACGAAGCCTTCCTTCCTTCCTTCCTTCCGGGACTCAGGCTGTCCTGGGGAGAGGCAGGAGTGGCCCAGGACTAGCTGTGCGAGAGGGACAGAGGCTGCGGGAGGGGCAGGGAGGCCTGGGGGTCGCGGAGGGAATTCAGCCCGAACACACTGGGGAAGAAGTCAGGGCGAGCCCGCTGCCGCAGCCGCTGGGAGATGAGGGCCCCAGATACCAGACTGGGAGGAGCGGCCACCAGGCGGCAAGATGGCCCGAGATAGGGCGGCCAGCAGAGCGGAACACCTCGGGGTTTGGCTCCCCTCGGGTGTGGGGCATGAGGGGCTTCTTGGGCCTGAGCAGACTGCTCGCCTGAAGGACCCCTCGGCCCCAGGGCCAGTGGCCGGCCCGCTCGCTCATTCATCCAGCAAACACTCCCTGCCCTTTCTGGAGCCAGGCACTAGGCAGAGAGAAGGCCACCAAGGCCCCAGCTGTGGGGGCTGGGCCCTCAGGAGGGGCTGGGGTCACACCCAGGATCAAGTGGCCCCTGGGGCCTGGGGAGGGCTCCGCTTCCTGGACTGGGGTTTTGGGGCTGGGGCCTTGTAGGACGCACAGAGTAGGGGCCAGGAGGGACGAGAACCAGCCGGTGTTTAGGGCCAGTGGGAGACTGGAGGGGCAGGCTCTGAAGGGAGTCGGAGTCACACAGGCCGAGGTTTACCTTGATATGCAATGTCCTGTGGCAGGTGACTTTAAGTTATGGTCACGTAAGTGAATGCATAAATGGAGACTGAATGATGACATTGGGCCTCCTGGGGCTCGCAGACAGCAGGGGGAAGAAGAAGGTCTCCTGCCTCGGCAGCTGGCAGGCATCCTGGAGGGCTTCTCGGAGGAGGCCGACTGAATCCTCCTGGAATCCGGTGTCGGTCAGCTGTCTTGGCTCCGAGATAACATGCCTAACAGACACGACCGCAAGGGATAACTGGTTTAATTTGGCTCACAGCTTCGGAGAGCGCAGTCCAGGGTGAGCTGGCTATGGCAGGCACACTGTAGTGGAAGGCACTGTGGAGGCCCGCCGGGGGAGGAGGCTCCAGGGAGGTGGCCTTGCTGCACCCAGCAGCACCGGGCCCTCGTGGCAAGGTCTGGGCAGCCTGCCTCCGTGACTACCGTGTGGCTTCCCTGACTCTTGTCTCTCTCCCCTGTCTAGACTTAGGACCTGCGTCTAGGATGGTCACGTCATCTTGCTTACTGTAGTGTTGCCGCAAAGGCCCTGCTCCTGGTATGGCCACCTTCTGAGGTGCCCAGGGATGTGAAGGGGGCCCTGGCTAACCCTCCTCACTGGTCCTGCGGACTGCAGTCCCTGGTGGGGTTGAGTCGGAGCGGCCAAGCCACACAGCACAGCCTCGGCCCCTGCAGCCCCTCCCAGGCACCGTCACGGGCTGGGCTGGGCTCTAACGAGCGACAGGGTCTCCTCTGGTCCCCTGAGGTGATGCTGGCTGCTCAGCCCCGGTGTGAGGCCCCCAGAGTAGGGCAATAGGCAGGTGGAGGCCTGGTGGGTGGTGGCTGCAGCTTCGTCCCTCCACAGTGACTTGGGAAGGCAGGAGGGGTCCACAGGAAGTCCTGGGGTGATGCAGGGTGCGCTGGACCCCCGTCACTGCTGTCACAGGCTGGATCCTGGTGCTGACAAGGACAGCTGCTCAGGAGCTGGGGGCCAGCCCAGGACAGCCTGCTGCATGAGTGCCTCCTCCTGGGCCCGCACACCACTGTCTCCTAGGACAGCGTGGTGGCCTGGGGTTGAGGAGCAGTGCCAGCGTGGGCAGTGATCAGCTTGCCCTTAGTGCAGGAAACACAGGCCTGCACACCTCCCGGGGGCCTCAGGCCATCCCCAGCTGTGGCCGGCGGGGCACTGGACGGCAGGCCCTGCCCAAGGACTTCGGTCGCCAGCCTTGTTGAAGCTGAGCCCTGCTCCTGACCCAGCCACACCCTCATCCTGGCGCCCACACAGCACTGACTGCAGCCAGAATCCCCAGTCGGTACCTCGCAGGGGACCTTGGTCAGGGAAGGGGCCCTGCATCGGCTCCTGGCTCCTGTGGTCCCTGGAACACAAGGGCCATCCATCTTGGTGCCCTGAGGTGCCGGCTGGCCTGGCGCCACTGCCACCATGATGGCGAGGGTGCTGCGGGAGGAAGTGGCACATTCTTGAGCCCTGTGATCACTTCCCGTAGGCTGCGGCCCGACCCAGCCAAGCGAGGCTTTCGTCCTGCTGTGCGAACTCCTGCCCAGTAGGCTTTATCCACCTCTGTCACCAGCCAGTGGCTGGGCCTGCCTGTGCCCAGGTGAACACAAGGGAGGACACAGGCGAGCCGCCTGGACTTCGTGGGAACCGGGAGATGGGATGGGGCAAGAGGAAACAGAGGGTGTAGGAGCTGGCCAAGAGCAAGGCTAGAGGCTAAGGTGGGGACACCAGGTGGCAGTTGGATGCTGACCACTGGCCTGGACGCCACCCAGATCCTGGCAGCCTGAGCAGAGGGGACCCCAAGGGGCCCAGTTTGGCCAGTTCCTGGACATCACTGTCCTGAGGGGCAACCGTGGCAGGACAGGCAACAAGGGTGGGAAGGGCAGAGGTCCGGGGCCACTATCACAAACCCCTTTTAGCTCCCATCCTAGCCTGCCATCCCTGTCGAGTGCTCCCCCAGCCTATTCCTCCTCCTCCTCCTCCTCCTTCTCCTCCTCCTCTTCCTCCTCCTCCTCCCCAGCCAACCCAGGAAGGGCAGCAGTCTCTTCCTGCTCATCCCTCCTGGCCCCAGTACAAATGCTCAGAGCAGTCTGCCCAGGCTCCAGACCCCAGCCCCGGTCCACACAACTTACAGCTCTGGAGCATGGGCGCTCCCTGCCTGAGCCCGTGTCGACCGACCCCTTTCCTCTTGGTGATCTAACAGGCTCCTACTCATCCATCCTTACCTGCCTTAGGCATGGCCTCCTCCAGGAAGCCACCTGCTAGGCACTGCTATCTCCTCGTGTTTCCCACACGGGCTGTGAGCCCAGGGCTCCCTCTGCCATCTCTCACGCAGCCGGGCTAGGAATGGTGCTAGGGCAGTGGTGTTTCTGCGCATTGTCTGCATCCCTCCTGTCTTTCACTTTCTCATCCATTCCCTTGCTGGGGGGTTTCTTGTCTGGGTCAGAGCTGGGGACAGACAGAGGGTACCCCGACAGTGGGTTCTGGCCTCAGGGTCGGGGGCCCAAGCCCCTGTGGCGCTCCGCTCAGGGAGCCCTGACAGCTGACAAATGGCCCCTGGGCAGTGGTGGGGCGGCAGCTAATGATTCCCCATCTTCACTCAGGCCCGGCTGGCGCGGCCCTTTCGATCCGGGTAAATGAGTACCTGGGGTCAGGGCTGGCTCTGGGAATTAGCCTTCCGGGGCTGCCAGAGAGGTCCAAGGAAAACACAAGGCTACACCCACCCTTGTGGAGCCAGGGAGAAAGACTAACAACCAGCTGCCCAGGGCCCCTGTGACCTGGGCCTCCATCTCGCCCTGGGCTCAGCCAGCCCCAGGGACCACCGGCACCCAGCAAGGAATGAGTGTCAAGCTTTGACTGCATGGGCAGCCCTGTGTTGGGCACAGGGGGTGTGGGGAGAGAGGGACGGGAGGGGCACCCACGCTCGCCAGGTGCCTGCTAACTGGCGCCTCTGCATGGGCTCCCCACCTGCCAGCCCTGGGCCTGCAGCGAGATTAGCCCTCCCAAGCCTTGCTTTTCTCACCAGGGCTCTGCCCTTGAGCGGAGCTCTGTGTGCAGCTGTGAATGCTTTTTTAAAAGTTTTTTTAAAAATTTATCACACCAAAAAACACATTGCCAGGAATGCCCCTCGAAACAGCCCCCTGGAGTTGAGCACACTCGTCCCGTTGCCCTGGCCACATCCTGCAGCAGCTCCGGAGCCCTCTTTTCTGAGGGTCTTCAGTCGTACTGCTGTGGCCGCCTCGGTGTCCTGAATCCATTCAAAACGTTTTGCTTTTGTGGTCATTTGGCTTTGGAGGGGAGCCGGAAGTTGCACAGCGTCAGATCCAGTGAGTAAGGCTGGTGCTCACACTTTTGTGTTGGTCTTTAATAAGTTATTTGAAGATGGAACATTCCCCATATACGTTGGTGGTACCACCCAGTCGCTAAAGGTACATCTGGCTCCCTTGTGCCCCTCGCTGTGTCCCGTGCACGGGGACTAAGCTGCCCTTTGCACTGTGCATAGATGAGAGGCTAGGGCTGAGATGGGGGGACATTTGTCTGTGGGTGCACAGTACAGGGGGACCTGGGGGACCCCGGGGACAGGCCTCCCCGCTGAGCAGGGCTGTGTCACCTGCAGGTCCTGGAGGGCCGCATGAAGCTGGAGTGCAAGTGCCACGGCGTGTCGGGCTCGTGCACCACCAAGACGTGCTGGACCACGCTGCCCAAGTTCCGCGAGGTGGGCCACCTGCTGAAGGAGAAGTACAGCGCAGCGGTGCAGGTGGAGGTGGTGCGGGCCAGCCGGCTGCGGCAGCCCACCTTCCTGCGCATCAAGCAGCTGCGCAGCTACCAGAAGCCCATGGAGACGGACCTGGTATACATCGAGAAGTCACCCAACTACTGTGAGGAGGACGCGGCGACGGGCAGCGTGGGCACGCAGGGCCGGCTGTGCAACCGCACCTCGCCGGGCGCCGACGGCTGCGACACCATGTGCTGTGGCCGCGGCTACAACACGCACCAGTACACGAAGGTCTGGCAGTGCAACTGCAAGTTCCACTGGTGCTGCTACGTGAAGTGCAACACCTGCAGCGAGCGCACCGAGGTCTTCACCTGCAAGTGAGGGTGCTGGCACGCAGCACGCGCCCACGGCCCCTGGCGTCCCGGGTCCACGGCCCGGGGTCCGACGGGAGCCGGCAGCGAACCCTGAGGGTGCCCCCGTGCCTGGGCCACAGACTCCGAGGGTCCCCTCCCTGCCTGGTGGCTGGACAGCAAGGCCACACTCACGATGGATCCCCGCCCCTGGGGCAGTGTGGACGGAGGTTGAGGAGGTTATTTATGCTTTCTTAGCATCAGAAGAGGATTCTCTACACTAACAAATGCGTAGCCAGTCCTAATCCACGCTCCGTACCCACCCAGCCCCCGTGCCCCTCTCCTGTCTCCTCCTGTCCTATCCCCACCACCCCTGCAGGTCCCAGGTGTCAGGGATCAGAAGGGGAGGAACTCAGAGGACAGCCCAGCTTCCCTCCCTTTTGGAAATCATATCATAAAAATCAAAATGTCACTTGTGCCAGGTTCCAGGAGTGTCCAGTCCCCTTCCTAGTCCTTCACGTTCCTGAATGGGCACTGGCCTGGCACCTGCAGTTTACAGAGTCTGTCCCACCCCAGAGCCAGCCTGACTTCTGGGATAGTAGGGCTGGGCTGAGGTACGGACAGGAGTGCTGGCTCCACTTGACAGATGGGCATACTGAGGCCCAGCAGGGCCTGAGCAAGGACTTGCCAGAGACCCTTCTGCTGTGAGTGGGTGCTCCTACCTTAGTCCCTGGCCAGCCCACCCTGAAGATGCCCAGCAGCCCCCACCTGGGAGGTCTGGCTACTCCCTTCCCAACCATAGCCTCAGGGGAGGCACACCCTCTAGGTGCCATCAAGGTTCCCGGAGCCCCGTCTAGGTCCTTCTGGTTGACCCAAGTGCCAGAAAAACTGGCAGGCAGGGAGGGGACAGCTGCCGGGCCTACCAGCAGTCTAGGGACACCTGCTGTCCAGACATCTCCCCAAGTGGCGCAGGCCTGTCTCTCCCGGTCACTGTCTCCCAGAACCTTGATGATGGGAATGGAATGGGAGCCTGGCTCAGGCCGGGGTCTGCCCTTTCAGGGCCCCTGCTCTGCTCCTAGGAGACAGACATTGAGGGTAGGGTCTGCCCAAGGTGGTTGAATGGCTCTAAGCCACCCCCACCGATCTTTGTGCCCCCAGTGTCCCCAGCAGCCTGAACATTGGCCCAGGGCAAGTGACCCCCGTGGGTTTGCTGACCCCATGTCCAGCCCACACCTGACAACTCCGGGAAACCCCGAGCCTCTGGGCTGCTGTGAATGCCCCCCCTTACCTAGCCCCAGGACACCCCGAGTCCACAGGCCGGCGTCCTCTGCTGAGGAGCCTGGGTAACTTATACTGTTATATAACGTCCAGATGTCTATAGTGTCTTTTAAGTTATTGTGACCTACACTGGGTTCCGGAGGGCAGGGTCATGGCTGTGGCCAGGGCCCCCGCCAGGCTCCTCCTTCTGCTTGAAATGGACCCTTGGGGCCGACGCCACAAGGCCCTTGCACTGTGCCTGGGCCACCTACCACCCAGCCGAGCCCACTGTTCCTCAAGGGGTCGACGCTGGGGGTGGGAGGCAGTGTGGCCCAGGCAGGCACTGGTGGCCTGGGCCACACACAGGGCCTGTAAGTGCCCATTTCTGACGGCTGTGCTGCTGGCCTCTCCTGAAGGGGAGCGCTTGGTCCCAATAAAAGCTGAAAATGGAGCAGTGAGCATTGTGTGTCGCCTCAGGTGTCCTCACCCCACCTCCTTTCTTCCCCCATCCCTGCCCCAGACACCTGCCCAGGCCTGGGTTGGTCCCCTCAAGTCTACTGGCCTCTGGGTGCCCAGGGCTGCCTGGACATTGGTGCAGTAGTGGGTCAGGCAGGTCTGTGCTTTTGCCCCCCGCCCAGGTACAGACTGGGCCCAGCCTGCTGGTCTAGGGGTCTAGGCTTGAGGCCTCCTGAAGTCCCAGGGTCTCCTGCCCAGCCCTGCCACTTCTTCCCAAGGCCCAGCCCGGAAATGGTAACCGAGCAAGGCAGCGTGAATAGCATTCCTGCCCAGGGCCGGAAGGCATGTGGTGGGGCCGGTTTGGCCACTGCCCGCTGTCCCCGGCAGCCTGGCATCGGGCGGGAACCACTGATCAAACAGCCCCGTCCCCACAGTGCCCAGCTGGGCATCCACAGAGCCTGGCCCTAGACCCAGGGCCCAGTAGAGGGAGCTCAGGTGGGACTCACCCTTGCCCCAGGGACAGACAGGACTCAGAGTCACAGCCCTGAGCCTTCCTGGCTCTCTCTGACATGTGGCCTCGGTCTCCCCATCGGAGAGCAACAGGTGGCCCGCAGCCAGCACTCGGTGGTCGGTGGGGCCATGGCGCCGGCGTGTGTGGGGCCCAGTCCGGGGCTGGGCAGTTGGCAGCAGGCCCTGGTTCCCCATGAGACAGCAAGCAAATCCCCAGGGGCGGCGGCGGCGGCAGCAGCGGAACGCCGGGGTCCAGCTACTCCCACGGGGGCAGGAATGAGGAAGGAGCCCTGCGATGCGGCCCCAGAGCGCAGACGGCACTTGCCGCCTGGCTGCCGTTCAAGCCGGTCCGGCCTCCTGGGGCTGCACGCACATCCTCTGGGGGCCCTGCGGGGCAGGGAGCCCTCACCCACCCCAGTCCCCCAACCCCCACCCCAGCCCGGGTTCTGCCCCATGCCCTGGGGGCTCCTCTGCCCACACTGATGCCCTCAGCTTGCTGGCCTTGCTTGCTGCCTCTCCAGGGTGCTTGGCCTGCTCCCTGCCGGGGTGCCCATCCTCCACCCTCGGGGACAGTGCAGGACCTCAGTGCACAACAGCTGGGGACACTACAGCTGCGACGGCCCAGAGTGGTGGGGACAGTGACCACCCACCTGCCCTTCTGCGTAGGCAGACACCTGTCTGTGCACTCCGTGGACACACCGTGTTCCACAGGGGTCCTGTTTCTGTGACTGCTTCTGCCCTGCCCAGGCTGAGGGTCCCCAGAAGCCAACGGCTCCAAGGAATACCAAGCACTCCCCACTGCCAGGCTTGGGCGGCCCGCAGCTGTACGCAGCCTGGGCAGCGGCCCTTTCCCAAGTTGGTTGGTCAGTTCCCCAAAACAGATGGACAAACTGAGGCTCAGAGAATAGGAGGGGCTGTCCAGTGCCTCGCAGCTGGTGGAGGCCAAGCAGCATCCGCACGCGGGCCCTCTGGGGTCTTCTACTCCACTCCTGTGCCTCGGTAGGGAAACTGAGGCCACACAGAGACGAGTGGGAAGGGCATGGCTTAGGTGGGGGCCTCGGAGAGATGACAGGTGACACTTTCTCCATCACCAACAGAACAAGAAAGACTGGGTAGAGAAGCAGCAGATGAGAGGTGAGCTAGGCAGCAGGGTGAACTGGATGGGGGAGGGGGGGGAGGGGGAGCTCGTGGGGAAGGCAGAAGTGGGGTCTGGTAAGTGCGGGGTTGTGGTCAGATAAACAGGAAGTCGGACTGGACCTCGCTGGAGAGCTCACTGGGGCCTCACCTACGCAAGGTCTGAGCTTCTGCCTCCTTCACTTGAGAGCAGGCAGTGGGGCTGTGTCGGGTGGGGTGGGGACCTCGCCCGGCTGTGGACACCCCAGGCTTCCCTGGAACTGAGCCCACCTGTGTCCTTGGACCGGATGGACCCAGACAGAAAGAAAGACCCTGTGGGTCCTGGAAATCTCAGGCTGGGTCCCCAGGAAAGGCAGGGACAAGGGCTGTGAGTCTTCAAGAGACTTGAACAGCAGCACTGTTCCCAGGCCCAGGCTGAGCACCTGCCTGTCCTCCAGCTCCTCCACTCACCTGGTCCCTTCTTCCTCTGGGCAGGATCTCTACTTCCTCTGAGCCGGGTCCCTACTCCCTCTGAGCCGGGTCCCTACTCCCCACGAGCCGGGTCCCTACACCCTCTGAGCCGGGTCCCTACTCCCCAAGAGCTGGGTCCCTACACCCTCTGAGCCGGGTCCCTACTCCCCATGAGCCGGGTCCCTACTCCCCAAGAGCTGGGTCCCTACTCCCCATGAGCTGGGTCCCTACTCCCCATGAGCCGGGTCCC